GTTGCCCTCTCGTCAAGCCAGATGGTCCTTATTTCTTTCACGCTTTCAGTTCATTATCACATATAGGCCTGGGTACCGTAATGTCAAGGCTGATGCTATCTCCCGACAATACGAACCTTTGGAGTCTATTGCCCCCACTCCTGAACCCATTGTACCCACGTCTAAGATAATAGCTGCTACCCATTTAGTTATTTCATCTCTTTTCCTTGATGGTATCAAGGCATACCAAACCCAAGCACCCTCTGAGACACCTGTTGGTAGATTATACGTGAAAGAAAAAGATAGAAAGAAATTGTTAGCTTTATTTCACACCGCCAAAACGGCTGGTCACCCAGGGGTTACCAAAACATACAAGGGTCTCCTTCAACAGGTTTGGTGGCCTTCACTTAAGCAAGATGTAGTGGATTATGTGCAGGCTTGTCGTGTTTGTGCACAGTGTAAGTCCCCTAATGTCAAACCCCCGGGACTCCTAATGCCTCTATCCGTACCCAAGAAACCATGGACCCACTTATCCATGGACTTTATTGTGGATCTTCCTTCATCCGATGGAATGACAGTAATTTTGACTGTGACTGATAGGTTCTCTAAAATGGCACACTTTATTCCACTTAAGAAACTACCTTCTGCGGTTCACTTGGCTCAGGTATTTGCCAAAGAGGTTTTCCGCTTGCATGGTATACCACAGGATATCGTATCTGACAGGGGTCCTCAATTTGTCTCTCGGTTTTGGAGGGGTTTTTGTGCTGAGATGGGGATTTCCTTGTCGTTTACTTCCTCCTATCATCCACAATCTAATGGAGCGGCCGAACGGGCGAATCAATCTGTGGAGTTATATTTATGTTGCTTCACGAATGCACACCAGGACAACTGGTCTCACCTCCTTCCTTGGGCTGAATTCGCCAGGAACACTGTGACTCATTCGTCCACTGGCTTAAGTCCTTTTATGGTTGCTTATGGGTTCCAACCCTCTGTCCTTCCCGGCGTGTTCTCAGACAAGGGAATACCTGCTTTGGACGAGCACCTCACCTCCTTACGGAAGATGTGGGATCAGGTCCATGCTACTCTTTCTTGTGCGACTGCTACTCAGAAGAGATTTGCTGATTGTCGTAGGGGTGCTGCTCCCTCTTATGTCCCGGGTGATAGGGTTTGGTTGTCCTCAGGGTCCCCTCGATGAAATTCGCGCCCAGGTTCCTTGGCCCCTATATAGTATTGCGTAGGGTCAATCCTGTGTCCTACTCCCTGGCCTTGCCTCCTTCCATGCGTATACCTAACACTTTCCACACCTCCCTTTTGAAGCCCCTGCTCTGTAATCGATTCTCTGGTCCTCTCAGGCGTCCAGATTCCCTCCGCGCTGTCTCTAATGACGTGTACGAAGTGGCTGCTCTGCTTGATTCTCATTTTTCTCGGGGTCGGTTGCAGTATCTGGTTGATTGGAAGGATTACTGCCCTGAGGAGCGGTCCTGGGTTTCTGCCTCTGACTTGAATGCGCCCTCTTTGATCCGCTCCTTTCATGCGCGGTTCCCTTTGAAGCCTTCGGCTTCCCGCCCGTTGGGCGGGCCTCGAGGGGGGGGTTATGTCAGGGATCCGCGGGCGGCTAGGAGGGGAGGCTGCACGCCACTTGCAGCACTCACCCTCAGTCCGTCGCCGCCCGCGGTCTCCCCTCGTCTCACCTGTCGGCGAGCGGCGTCTCCTCTCTGCCGCTCGCGTCCTCCACGCCCCCCAGCGGCAGCATGTATAACGCTGCACGCTGGGAGGTCACTAAATTATGCAAACGCCGGAGTCATGTGAGTGACCCGGCGTTAAAGAAACAGTAGTTATCTATCTGTATCATATACGTATCATATATCTGTATCATATACGTTATATACTTTTTTCTTGCAAGTCTCTCATCTAGAATAGTATTGGACAGGCCTTTCATCGAAAGTGGTGACAAGGCCACTGTTTGTCCAATCCACCTCTGAGGCATGTGTACGAAAATCCATTGCATAATCAGCAACAGAGCGATTGCCCTGTCTTATGCGCATGAGGGCTTTTCCACATCCTTTTCCTTACCTAATGGCTCAAAAGTTATCTTGAACTTAGCTAGGAATTCCGCATAATCATATGCGATAGACTTGTTGCTCTCTCATAAAAGATTTGCCCATGTTAATGCCTTCCCTATGAACAGATTCATCAGATAACCAATCTTGGATTTATTGGAAGGAAAGTAGCCGGGGGAGGCCTCAAAGTGGTACCCCATTTGGTTAAGAAAACCACTGCATTCCTGAGCATTACCAGTAAAATGAGGGGGTGGTGAGAGGGATATAGATGGAGCCTTGTATACTATGGGTACAAAAGCAACAGGAGGGGCTGGAGGAGGTCGTTGATCCTCTGGTTGGAGGTGAGCAGTACGGGCCAACAATGTCTGAAAGGCCTGGGCGAATTTATCCATACAGTGATCATTATCTTCCAGCCTTCTTTCACAAGCCAACATGTCTTGACTGACCTCTGCAGGGTCCATGGCCCTGTCGCAATGTCAGGATGAACCAGTGGCCCAACACGCAGAATTAAGTAAAACAGGTAACAAAGACAAACAGTAACAACGTATTACCGGGCTTTAGAATGGAATTAACGTAATAGAATAAACAGTAACGAGTCGAGGTCAGGAACACAGAAAGGAACAAATACTAGGGATCGACCAATTATCTCCCAATATTCTGTATTTTCAGCACTATCGGTATCAGCCAATAAAGATACCGATATTGCCGATAATGCAGACCAGGGCCGCCATCAAGGTCCTGGGGGGGCCCTGCACAGTCTTACTTACCTTCCCAGCAGCTCCCCTGTCTGACTCTCGCAAGTCCCGCAGCCGTCAGAGCATTGCCACGGGTTACCATGGCAAAGCTCCGTGCGGCATAAAGACCACGAGAGTTAGACAGGGGAGCTGAAGGGAAGGTAAGTAAGAGTGTACTGGGCCCCCTCTGCACAGTCCATGCCACCGGCCAGGTAAGAAGCAGGGAGGGGGACTAAAACATTTGTAAAAAAAATTATTTTTTTAAAGTTAAAAAAATAAAAATGCCCTCCCATTTTACACACTTAACATACCTACACAAACACACACTCTGCATTATATACACACACACACTACACAAACACACTCTGAATTCACTATAAACACACACACACACACACACTGCATTCACTATACACAAACTCTGCATTCATTATATATACACACACACACATTACACAAACTGCATTCACTATATACACATTACACAAACACACACTGCATTATTATTATTATTTATATAGTTTTCTTTAAAAATTAAGACAAAGTAGGGACTATTTCTCTTCTGGAGGTTTCCTACGCCTGACCAGCTAAGGAGCAAAGCGTGCTTCGTTTCCAGTGGTCAGAGCAATTTTCCCATGATCCTTAGCTTTCCTGCCTGTTCCCACGATGCCTCCTGTCATTATTGCCGAACGTCCTGTCACTTAGACAGAACGCCGGCAAAACTGCCGAATTGCGTCCTTACAGAATGAGAATAGCTTTTCCATTCGTGTTAGAACGCAATTCGGGACTTTTTCGGATCGCAATTTCATTCGAATGAATGAAACTCCAATCCTATTCGTGCTGTGGCTGCATCTTGCAGCCGCTTAGTAGATAACTCCCTAATTCCCACGGTATTAAGGAGTTATCTACCAAAAGGCTGAAAGACCTAAATTGGTCTTTCAGCCACATTTACTAATACTAAGTAAAGATTACTTAGTATTGGTAAATTCTGCCCCTACTCGCTATACGGGCGGTGGGTGGGGGCCCTAAGACTAATTCCCCCCTGCCCCCCTCAAAGGTGACTACGGGTCCCCAAGCCCCTAGTCATCCCCTCCCACCCAAATAAAAGCTATCCCCTACCTACCCCTCTCACCCTACAAATAGTGAGGGGGGAATAAAATAACTAACCTGTAAATAAAAATAAAACTTACCATTTGATGTCTTCTTTCTAAAGAAAAAATCTTCATTTTTCAGCCCCAAAAAAGGCCAAATAAAAAAACCATCATATCCGTCGAACTTAAAATAAAATAAAAAATATGAGCGTAAAAAAAAAAAAACAGACGAAAAAAATATATAATCCATCTTCACCCATGGAGGGCTCTGTGCAGACTGAGCTCTGTAGGGCGGGGGAAGGGTTATAAAGCCTTGCCCCGCCCTGCAATTAGGCTAAGAACACTTTGATTGGTTGGATTAAGCCAATCCGAGTACTCTTTGTCATTTTACACAGCGTGGCAAAGTTCTTTGGAATTTTCCCACGCTGTGTAATTTGACTCATAACATTCTGATTGGTGGGCTTGAAATCCATCCAATCAGAGTGCTCTGTGTCATTTTACATAGCATGGGAAACTTTCCCACGCTGTGTAAAATGACACAGAGCACTCTGATTGGTTAGATTCCAAGCCCACCAATGAGAGTGTTATGAGTCAAATTACACAGCGTGGGAAAATTCCAAAGAACTTTCCCATGCTGTGTAAAATTACACAGAGCACTCTGATTGGATGGAATTTCAAGCAGGGGTGGGGACTGGGGGAGGACAATAGATCCCCCCCTTCATTATCTTTATGGTACCCACCCACTGCTCAGGGGTGGGAGGACAGTAGGACCCCCCTCATTGTTATGTAGGACCCCCACCCGCCGTACAGGGGTGGTGGCCTGGGGGTTGGACAGTAGGCTCCCCTTCTCATCTTTATGGCCCCCACCCGCCACCCAGGGGTGGGGGCCAGAGGAGGAGAGTAGGTTTCCCCGCTCTTGTTATCTTTATGGCCCCCATCTGACGCTCAGGGGTGGAAGGACAGTAGGTCCCTCATTATCTTGATGGCCCCCACCCGCCGCCCAGGAGTGGGGGCCGGGGGGATCAGAGTAGGTTCCCCCCTCATTATCTTTATGGCCCACATCTGGACAGTAGGTCGTCCCCCCCCCCCGAGGACATTGTTATGTAGGGCCCCCATCCGCCACACAGGGGTGGAGGGCAAAAGGTTTTTTTTGTTTTTTACAGTGAGCATCCACTGGCTACTCACTGTTTACTAGACATGTCTCTACTCGCAGTATAGCGAGTAAGGGCAGAATTTACTAATACCAGAACACTGGTGAGACCTCACTTGGAGTATTGTATGCAGTACTGGAGACCATATCTCAAGAAGGATATTGATATTTTGGACAGCGTTCAGAGAATGGCTACTAAACTGGTTCATGGATTACAGGATAAAATTTACAAGGAAAGGTTTAAGGATCTTAACATGTATAGTTTGGAGGAAAGACAAGACAGGGTTGATATGATAGAAACATTTAAATTCATAAAGGGAATCAGTCTTAACCCCTTTAGACCGGAGGACGTACAATTACGCCCTATTTTAGGCGGCTCTAAACGCCGCCGGGCGTAATTGTATGCCCTCGGGTTTTTGTTAACTTACCCGGTCACCGGCGGACCGCCGGCGATAGCGGTGGGGGGGACTCCCACGGAGCCCCCCCGCAGCAGATCCTTCTCCTCCAGTGACCCCCGGCCATGTGAGAGTGGGGTCCTAGCGAGGACCCCACAATCACATGGCCGTGGATAGCTGGCTTCAGTATTGCCAGCAGGGGGGATGCCTGTAATGACAGGTGGTCCCCCTGCTGGCTGAAAATAAAATTAAAATCAAATTTAAGAGTGTAAAAAAAAATATATATATACTTAGATCATATATATATATTATATATATATGATCTAAGTATATATATAGACATATACATACACACACATACACTGTCTAGGTGTATTTTACTATTAATATATATATAATTATATATATATATATATATATATGTATATATATATATATATATATTAATATCAAATTACACGTAGACTGATACTGGTTAAATATATATATAATTATTGTTATATATATATTTATATATAATATAAAAAAATTTAATATGTAAATACGTTAAAAAATAAAATAAATAATTTAAAAAAATTAATTAAAAAATATATAGATGTGTGTTATTTCGTTCTAACTGTATTGTGATATTAATATATATATATTTATATCAAAATACACGTAGAACTAAATAATATATATATCTACATACATAAATATATACGTATATATCACTATATATATACCTATATATAAATACAAATATTTAAAAAAAATTATATAGATATACACATATAGATTCACATACGTATATATATATATATATATATATATATATATATATATATACATATATTAATTCTACATATATAGTTATGTAATATTAGGTATCTTAATTAATTACAATTAGCGGGACCTGCCTGACAACCCATGCCGAAAGTAAAGGGAATTTAATTTGCTAGCACTATATTTAACCCTATAACTTTCCAAGACACCATAAAACCTGTACATGGGGGGTACTGTTCTACTCGGGAGACTTCGCTGAACACAAATATTAGTGTTTCAAAACAGTAAAATGTATTACAACGATGATATCGCCAGTAAAAGTGACGTTTTTTGCATTTTTCATGCACAAACAGCACTTACACGGACGATATTATTGCTGTGATACTTTTTACTGTTTTGAAACACAAATATTTGTGTTCAGCGAAGTCTCCCAAGTACAACAGTACCCCTCATGTACAGGTTTTATGGTGTTTTCAAAAGTTACAGCGTCAAATATAAGGCTTGCGTTTCATTTTTTTCACATTAAAATTCGCCAGATTGGTTACGGTGCCTTTGAGACCCTATGGTAGCCCGAGAATGAAAATTACCCCTATGATGGCATACCATTTGCAATAGTAGACAACCCAAGGTATTGCAAACGGGGTATGTCCAGTCTTTTTTAGTAGCCACTTAGTCACAAACACTGGCCAAAATTGGCGTTTTTTGCATTTTTCACACAAACAAATACTAACGCTAACTTTGGCCAGTGTTTGTGACCAAATGGCTACTAAAAAAGACTGGACATACCCCATTTGCAATACCTTGGGTTGTCTACTATTGCAAATGGTATGCCATTATGGGTGTAAATTTCATTCCTGGCTACTATGAAGTCCCAAAGGCAACGTAACCAATCTGGCGAATTTCAATTTCAAATGTAACGTGCTATATTTGACCCTGTAACTTCCCAAAATGCCATAAAACCTGTACATAGGGGGTACTGTTTTACACGTGAGACTTTGCTGAATACAAATATGTGTATTTTATTGCAGTAAAAGCAAACAGTATTATGACATTGACAGTTAAAATGTCATGTAGAACTAAAAAAATCAAACAAAATCTTATTTTCTCCCATTTTTTTCATATTAAATTATGTTTCATAGCTAAATATTTGATATTAAATGAAAGCCCCTTTTCCCCTCAATAAAATGATATATAATAAGGGTGGGTGCATTTACTATGAAACAGGTGAATTACAGTTGGACAGACATGTAGCGCAAATGCCAGGTTTTGTTTACATTTTGTTTCGTTCACAACGTGTACATTTGGCTCCGTCCTTAAGGGGTTAAAGTAGAAGGGCAAAGGTTTAAAAATAATATCAGGAAGTATTACTTAACCCCTTCAGGACGGAGTCAATAGTACACGTTCTGATCAAAACAAAACGTAAACAAAAACTGGAATTTACGCTATATGTCTGTTCACCCGTAATTCACCGCTGTCACATTAAGTGCACCCACACTTATTATATATCATTTTGTTCAGGAGAAACAGGGCTTTAATTTATCATTAACTATTCATATATGGAACATAATTTGTTATGAATAAAATATAAAAAAAATTGAGAAAATAAGATTTTTTTTTTAATTTGTATTTACGTCTGACATTTTAGCTCATAATACTGTTAGGTATTACTGCAAAAGAATGCCCATATTTGTAATCAGCGATGTCTCACGAGTACAACAGTACCCCCCATTAACAGGTTTTATGGTGTTTTGGAAATTTACAGGGTCAAATATAGAACGTTCCATTTTCAAATTGAAATTTGCCAGATTAGTAATGTTACCTTTGAGACGGTGTGGTAGCCCAGGAATGAGAATTACCCCCATAAAGGCATACCATTTGAAAAAAGGGATAAAGATCAGGAAAAAGGTTCAGCGCTGATAATAAACAGGGAGTATAATAACAAGGCAGCACACCTTAAAAAGGGAATCCCCTCTGAACCCCTTAAAGTACAATGGAAAAAAAAAAGGAAAGAATAAGGGTGCGCCTAAAACAAGTGGAAATAGCAAAATAATAATATGGGAATAGCAGCAATAACAAAAAGTCCGAAAAAATATCCAAATATAATATAGAAATGGGATAACCACGGTACCTAGTAGTCCAAATATAAAATGTCCAAATGCGCAAATGGTGGTCCTAGTAGTCTATCAGAAGAGTATGTAGCGTCCCGAATGAGTATAAATATGCGGGGAGAACAGAAGAGACAGAAAAACTCCAATGGTGTAGTATAAAACAGAATATAAATATTATGTAAATATTTGTGGAACTACTCAAAAATGCATTCGTTTTTAACTTTTTTTATATTTAATATGCTCCACATTATATACTATACTGTAATTATATTTATATTTTATTCTTTTTATACATTGTATTGTATTCCCTCCCATGACGATTGGTGACGTCATTTTGGCGGGAATTTTAAATTATTTGTGTATTTCAATGTTCCCTATATAAGTACTGTATGTTAGGTCTGTTTCCTTTCTTTTTATATTGTTTCTACTTGATGAAGCCTATTGTGGCGAAACGCGTATAGAAACTTTCTTTTTTTAAATTAAAGTGTCATTAAAGGAATATCTGGCTATTATACACTGGTTTGCCACATTCCTCTTTTCACTTTTATATTATATTATTTGCTATTTTTCTATGCAAGTTAATTTTATCCAGACCTAACTACCATTGATTTCGACCATATTGGACTACCAAAGAATCCTTAAGGTGGGGATTATACCACCCATACGCCATCCACCGAGCAGTACGTCTGCTCTATATACCGTGAGTATATTTTATTTAATTTTAATTTTTTTTATCAACTATACAGTGAGCACTATATCTTTTTTATTATTTTTATCCCGAGTTGGACTCCATCCTTTTACCAAAGGACCAAAGAGGAGCACCACATATCCTTGAGTGGGGATTATTCCACTTCACGCTATCCATACCAGAGCTGGATTTAAGCTCTGAAGACTGTGAGTAGTTCCACAAATATTTACATAATATTCATATTCTGTTTTTATACTACACCATTGGAGTTTTTCTCTCTCTTCTGTTCTCCCCGCATATTTATACTCATTCGGGACGCTACATACCCTTCTGATGGACTACTAGGACCACTAATTGCGCATTTGGACATTTTATATTTGGACTACTAGGTACCGTGGTTATCCCATTTCTATATTATATTTGGACATTTTTTCGGACTTTTTGCTATTGCTGCTATTCCCATATTATTATTTTGCTATTTCCACTTGTTTTAGGCGCACCCTTATTCTTTCCTTTTTTTTATACCATTTGAAAAAGTAGACAACCCAAGGTATTGAACGTGGGGTATGTTTAGTCTTTTTTAGTAGCGACTTAGTCACAAACACTGGCCAAAGTTAGTGTTCATATTTGTTTTTGTGTGAAAAAAGCAAAAAACTAATATTTGGCCAGTATTTGTGACTAAGTGGCTACTAAAAATGACTGGACATACCCCATTTGCAATACCTTGGGTTGTGTACTTTTGCAAATGGTATGCCATCATGAGGGTAATTCTTATTCCTGGGCTACGATACGCTCTCAAAGGCAACATAACCAATCTGGCAAATTTCAATGTAAAAAAAATGAAATGCAAGCCTTATATGTGACTCTCTAACTTTCCAAAACACAATAAAACCTGTACATGGGGGGTATTGTTATTCTCGGGAGACTTCACTAAACACAAATATTAGTGTTTTAAAACAGTAAAACATATTACAACAATAATATAGTCCATAAAAGTGCCGTTTGTTTGTAAAAAATTCAAAAAACGCACTTTTACTTAAAATATCATCGTTGTAATACAATTTACCAGTTTGAAACACTAATATTTGAGTTCAGCGAAGTCTCCCGAGTAAAACAGTACCCCCTATGTACAGGTTTTATGGTGTCTTGGAGAGTTACAGGGTCAAATATAGTGCTTGCGAATTAAATTCTCTGCACTTTCTCCCTGTGTTGTCAGGCATGTCAATCAAATTTTAATTAATCAAATCACATAATTATGTTAAAAGATTACTTAAATATACACGTAGAATTTTAATATATATGCATTTATAGGTATTTAAATTCTACGTGTATACTAATGTAATCTTTTATGTAATTATATGTATTTATCTATATATATATATATATATATATTCACGGTTATTTGTATTTTATATGTAGATAGATATATATAGAATGTCATTCTAAGTGTATTTCGTTACCAATATATATATATTAATAACAAAATGAAGTTAGAATGAAATTACATATGAATATATAATTTTAATAAAATTTTGTTTCAATATTTTATGTATTTATTTTATTATTTTATTATTGTAATTATACGTATATATATATATATAGAATATATGTGTATATATCTATTATATATATAATATATATACATATTATATATATGTAACGTCATTCTAAGTGTATTTTAATACTAATATAAATACTAATATTAGTATTAAAATACACAACGTATGACGTTTTATATATATATATATATATATATATATATAAAATATATATAAAATATATATATATATATTATATATATATATATATATATATAAATATATTGAATTTATTTTTACACATGTCTAATTTTTTTTTTTTTTTCATTTCCCACCAGCAGGGGGACTGTCTGATATTTCAGACAGTCCCCCTGCTGGCAGATCCACAGCCAGCTATAGGGGGCCATACTTGCCAGAGGAGGGCTGCCTGGGCGGTCAGGCAGCCCTCCAGAAGAGGATCGCGGCGGAGGTGAGTAGCGCCGGTCCTCTGGGGGCTTAAGCCGTTACGGCGTTCTATGCCGCCGCAACGGCTTTAAAGCCCTTTAAAGCCGCGACGGCATAGAACGCCGTAATGGCGTTAAGGGGTTAACTGAGAGGGTAGTGGATGCATGGAATAGCCCTCTAGCTAAGGTGGTAGAAATTAACACAGTGAAGGAGTTTAAGCATGCATGGGATAGGCATAAGGTTATCCTAGCTATATATATCCTAGCTAGTTTTTTTTAAAACTTTAACATTTATTTTGAATTCTCACTTTAGAGAATAACCCAATATGTCAATACTGGGCCTATATAAGGATGGAATTTTACAACAAAGGAACTCGTTTCTTTGTGTTTATGTTTGTGTTTATAAAATACGTTCTATTTCAAAGATCATTATTGAATATGAACAAGAATGTTTCAAAGACTTAAAATATACAAGGACAAGCTAAGTAGAGGATAAGAGTAGGTTTTGAGGTTTCTCAAATGCTGAAAAGGCTCTTTAACACAATTCATAATCTGGCTACAGGTGAACTGTCTATCCAGATTATTGAATATAAGCCCCCACCCGACGTCCACAAGGGGGGGACCACTGACAGGACATCCTCCTCCAAATCAGCAATTATCTTTCTTAGCTACCCCACTGCTCAAGGTTTAGTAGATATACCAACACCCTTGGTATGGGGCATCCTTTTACAGCAATATGGGAATTACTGACCATCCCAGGCTAAAGAGAATGAGAGAAAGCAAGACTGAGTGTATAAGTCTCAGAAGACCCTCAGAAACCGGGTAAGACAAAGCAGGAATGTGCAGGATAGAGGAGTAACTGTATGGGAAAGAGCATTGGAGTGACACTCAGTGAGCGAGAGTAGGTCAGAGAGCGTGGATGACGCCTAGAGCAAGCATGTAGGAGAGACGGTGTGAGGTGAGCATAAGACAGCAAGTACGATAGAAAGCGGAATAAATTTAGTGATTGTGATACGGATCGCCAATCACTGCAGCTCCTACTCCTGTGAGTTCCCCGCTTCTTGCGTCTCTCTTTACCACGTGACCTGCGTAGTCACATGGTTCCTGTGCCATTACACGTCCTGTAGCTGTGGGCGGAACTAGCCGCTTCCATAAGGTAAGAGTTGAAGAATATTTCTATCTGTGTCCGTGTGTAGATACATCATAACTCACAGAGCCATCTTCTGGAAGGTGATGGTTTCTTACAAAGACAAGTAATGTCCTTATTTTCAGATTATGCCAGCTGACTTTGTATACACTGTAAACATGGCAGACACGGAAATTCACCTCTGACTTAGACTGCAGGAACTGATGTCAAGGCATTCCAAATAGGGGACTCCGACAAGGAGATCTTTATCTGTCTTATCCCTCTATCTACAGGGATAACATGTAAGGGCGATGACTTCGCCCCACTTCTTTTCTAACTGCAGGTAACTCAAATCATGAGTGCCTTTACTGGTTTGCTCTAATTAGCCAACATGGTAACATTCCCCAGATTTGTTTTGCAAGTTTATTAATTATCTGATTTATAATACCAGCTTTCTTTTACATTCCTTTTGGTATAGGTCTTGTTATTGTTAATTTACCAAACAGACTTTAGTATTGTAGAAAACTATGCAGCATAATGTATTAAATGTGAGATTACTACTCCCTTTTTGTACTAGTTCATTGTATGCAATCTATATAAACTGTTTGTAAGAGAGAGATTTGTTTATGCTGAAACACAGTTTGCGTTCTAAATATTATATGGTCATGTTAGCCCTGAAAAGATGATACACAGAATTATTCCCAAGAGAAAAAAATTTTGAACACCTAATCCCGTAGAAACGCTCACAATTCGCTTGCACTTTAACCTTTAGAGTTATTCATTTAAGTGTGGATGCTCCTGGCCCAGATTTGCTGAATTCATCCAGATCTGTTCGTTCGGACTGAAAAATCCAAATGTTGCTCATATCTACTGATTTGCTGAATTCATCCAGATCAGTTCGTTCAGACTGCAAAATCGTAATGTTGTTCATATCTACTAAACCAGTAGTAGCCAATGGCTGGTTAGTTAGTAATTCACTATCCCCTGGACAATAGAGTAAACTAATAAGCTGGTTGTTTACTGTTTAGTACAGCGGTTCCCAAAGTGGGGGTTGCGACACACTGGTAGGTTGCACAGACCCACACATCCAGGGCTGCTGGGGACTCTGGAGTCAGGCATGCAAACTGATTAGTATGCCGCCGGGCTCCCTCCAATCAGTCTGCACAGCACCTCGGGTCTGCAGCTTCGCCCGGTGCAGAGCTGCAGACCGTGTGATCGAAGTCTCGCAAACACCCAGAGCATTAGCATGGCAACAGTCTGGGAGCTCGCAAGACTCTTATTACATGGCACGCAGCTCTGCACCCGGCGGAGCTGCAGACCGGAGAGTTAACCCACCGGACCACCAGGGAATTTAATAAAGGTAGGACACAATATGCGCACACTGCATCCACTACATACACACACACACACTGCATCCACTACACATGCACTGCAATCAAATGCAAACATTACATACAAACACACCCCTGCATTAAAACACTAAAATTATATACAAACACCCCTTCATTCAAACACCAACACTACACACAAAAAGCACACCTGAATTTAAAGTCCTACACTACATACAAACACCCCTGCATTCAGATGCAAACATTACAAACAAGTACACCACTACATTCCAATGGCAACAGTACATACAAATAATCCCATACATACAAAAACATACTTGCACCAGGGCCCTCTCTATATTAGTTCCATCACTGGGATATTCAACATAAGGTGCCTGGATGAGCAGGACACAGAACTTCTGATTCTGACTGTGTCTGTGAGTAAGCAGTTGTATGCCTCTAAAACTGATTGCCATGATGTGCAAAGTTTCTGCCTCTGAAACTCCATGATATGTCAAAATTATGCATCTAAAACTTTCATGATATGTCAAATTATGCCTCTAAAATTACCATGATCTGCCAATTTTATGCATCTAAAGCCGATTGCCATGGTGTACCAATTGTATGTTTTTAAAACTGATTGCCATGGTGTACCAATTTTATGCATCTGACTGTTTGCCATGGTGTGCCAATTGAATGCCTCTGAAGCTGATTGCCACGAAATGCCAAGTTTATGCGTCTAAAGCTCATTGCCATGGTGTGCCAAGTTTATGTATTTAAAACTGCCACGATGTTCCAATTGTATGCCTCTAAAACTGATTGCCATGGTGTGCCAATTGTATGCCTCTAAAACTGATTGCCATGGTGTGCCAATTTTATGCCTCTTAAACTGATTGCCATGGTGTGCCAATTTTATGCCTCTTAAACTGATTGCCATGGTGTGCCAATTTTATGCCTCTTAAACTGATTGCCATGGTGTGCCAATTGTATGCCTTTTAAACTGATTGCCATGGTGTGCCAATTTTATGCCTCTTAAACTGATTGCCATGGTGTGCCAATTGTATGCCTCTTAAACTGATTGCCATGGTGTGCCAATTGTATGTCTCTAAAGCTGATTGCCATGGTGTTCACTTTTTAAAATATGCATTAAAAGCAAGTGGGTCTCGAAACATTACCATTTTGAAAAGTGGGTCTCGGCCCATAAAAGTTTGGAAAGCTCTGGCTTAATAGATACAGCATGTCAGGTGGTGACATAAGAGAGGATGTTATATTTATTATTTGTATGAAGGTCATATGAGCTCACATTTTTTTTCAGTTTATTTAATTTTCTGCTTTTGCTATTCAGACACCACACAATTTACCCACAATGTCTTATTGTGCTGACAATGGACAAGTAGTCCAGATTTCAGTAAATATATTAGGTAGAAAGCTGGTATTCATTTGATGTTTTGTAAAAATGTGAATTGTATCTGACAACATATCACTATCTAACAAGTGTCGTCAGTTTAAGATGCACTATAATCAAAATATGAAAGACAGGTCCCTTAGCCTTCTTTCTTGTTTTTATATTAATTTACCCTTTTAAAAAAAAAAAAAATGTAGAGTGATTATAATATAAACTTACCTCCATTCCAGCGATGAGATCCTCGGCAGGCTGCGCCCCCTTTTTTGTCAAAATGACGAAATAGCAGGGGTCAATCAGACGCTTCTCTTGGAGAAGCGTCACAGCGATCTGGTTCGTTGAATGGCGCTTTATGAATGTACACTGATCACTGTACCGGTATGCGCGTTCGCGAGCTGACTGACGGCTCCACTCGCTGTCTATGCCCGCCCCCTTCTAAGCCCAAAGTTTGTGTGTACAAACACTATATCAAGAGGAGGGATCGACCGATTATCAGTCTGTTGAAGGGAGCTGCTAGGAAGGTAAGTAAGAGCTTGCTGGGCCCCCTCTGCACAGTCTATGCCACCGGACCACCAGGGAATGCTATATTCCCACTTCCTGGCCAAGTAAGAAACAGGGAGGGTGGACTAAAAATGTTTTAAAAAATTTAAATATTTAAAAAATAAATAAGAATCCCACCTCCCCATATTTTACACACTTAACATACCTACACAAATACACACTACACAAGCACACACACTCTGCATTCATTATATACACACACTACACACACACTCTTAAAAAAAAATATGTTCAGTAGATTTGTGTAGAAATTTTTATTTTTTTTTTGTTTTTTTTTTAAATGGTAAATGTACAGAATATCGGTAAATTATCGGGCTGAAAGTTCACAGATTATCGGTGTTGGCTCTAAAAAAAGAAAATCAATATCAGTCGATCCTTGATATAGCGATATCTCTATATTTAGTGTTTGTATACACACACACTCTCACTCACACTCTCTCTAAATCTCACACTCTCTCAATCTTTTTCACTCACACTCTCCCCCACACTCACTCAATCCCACACACTCTCTCTCTCTCTCTCTCTCTCTCTCTCTCTCTCTCTCTCTCTCTCTCTCAATCTTTCACTCATACTCTCTCACCCACACTCACTCTCTCAATTTCACACACTCACTCTCTCTCATTTTCTCATTTAGAAAATAAGTTTACTTACGGTTTGAAGTCATTAGATTCTCCTGCCTTCAGCCTGTCAGCCAGAGCCCACGCGGTGTGCAGGAGACCACTATCTCCCACACTGTTGGCTCTACTACAGGACACAGGATGCACATTCACAGTGCTTCCTGTCTCCTGATATCACGTTTGATGTATTCAACCAAGCATGAAGACGTCAAACGTGATGAATGCGAATTAGGCAGCCCTTAGCTCGGAAGTCCCTCTGGTGGCCGTCTGAGGGGCTGCTGTCACGAACGCACACTACTCCAAGAGTGCGAGTGATGTAGTTGTGGTTGTGAAAGGGTTAAAGTTCACTATTTGTCTGCACTAGACCGGAAATAATGACAAAATCCCCCTTTAACACCACCCACACTTAAACATAATAATATAACTATTACTAGTTTAACGCTGCCACCACCAAGACAATTTATAAATGGGGTGCCTTGGTCCCCCAGGTAAATCAATAATAAAACCCACCAAATATTACTTAGTACAATATTTAAGTTATTGCAAAAATACTAACTAGTCTCCTCAGGTAACGTGATTCTTAACCAGACAAAGGCAGAACTTAATAAATGAATGTTTATTATGAGCAACAATTAATCACAGTGCATATAAAAATATATGATAAACAAATTATTTACACCAACAATAGATAAAAACAAAAAGGATAAACTCAAAATTAGATCTTGGCCCCAAGCAAGTACACAAACACCCTTCAGAATCACAGGAGATATACCCTGTGAATTGCCACGCCTCATCCAGGGGTGGATACTAAGTGACCACCTCCTTTGTTTCAGAAAACAACATGTCACATACAAACTTTTGGTTTTATCTCCTCTACTGTACTTGCCACAGAAATAATAATTGCCTCTATGAATTTGTTATTGTTTTCCCATTCCAAAGACATGTTGCACGCCCCGCCCACGATCCAATAGGACGGACATCACAAGTCCTGCCACACGGTTTAAGTTGTGCAACTCATGTTTGGGCTTAATTAAAAGATTGGGCTGGTCTCATTCCAAATATAATAAAAATGAGGCTTAATTATTAACCTGTGGGTAAGTATGAATGTTTCACTTGGATAAGATACTGGAACACAAGGATCTTCATGAAACGAATCCCATTACCAATTCAAATGATTGAACTATCCTTTACAAGGTACATGCCAAATGGATGAAGAGACATTCAGACTTTTTCCAAGTGTAGAATCTCACACCTTGCAGATCCTTGATTACTTCACATCCATATAGTAAAATCCTTTTCACATTGCTATTCCATTCACACTACCCCTTCTGTCATCTGACCTCTGTGGGGGTCCCAGCTTCAAAAGATGTAACCCCTGTTGACCTCAGCAATAGCATCTCTGTAATTTGCGCTATTTACTACACAAATTACATTAAAAGATGATATTCCATAGTGTAATAATAATGGGAAAATCAGGAGTACCAATGATGTGCACATGCTGTCTCTGGATGTACATGTAAGAAATACAGTTATAAATGTAGTTTTACTCTTGCATTAAAGAGGAACATGTAGAAGTGATCCATACATCAGGTCTGTGCTAGGTACAGAAGTGAAATTTTTGATAAAATGTTGGTCTATATCCAGTCTTGACTTGACTTCTATACCTCCAGATGAACAGATAGAAGGTCGTTAGGTTTCCAACTTATCGTTTTTAAAGGACCACTATAGTGCCAGGAAAACATACTCTTTTTCCTGGCACTATAGTGCCCTGAGGGTGCCCCCACCCTCAGGGTCCCCCTCCCGCCAGGCTCTGGGGAGAGGAAAGGGGTTAAAACTTACCTTTTTCCAGCGCTGGGCGGGGAGCTCTCCTCCTCCGTTCCTCCCATCTGGCTGAATGCGCACACGTGGCAAGAGCTGCGCGCGCATTCAGCCGGTCTCATAGGAAAGCATTTACAATGCTTTCCTATGGACGCTTGCGTGTTCTCACTGATTTTTCACAGTGAGAATCACAGAAGCGCCTCTAGCGGCTGTCAATGAGATAGCCACTAGAGGAATTGGAGGAAGGATTAACCCATTTACAAACATAACAGTTTCTCCGAAACTGCTATGTTTATAAAAAAAAAAAAAAATGGGTTAACCCTAGCTGGACCTGGCACCCAGACCACTTCATTAAGCTGAAGTGGTCTGGGTGCCTAGAGTGGTCCTTTAAGGGTAGTTGAAATTGGAAGGCAATGCTTCAGATTGGTGAAGCATGTGAATTGCCATGCAAGTGCTAATTTGTCCCCAGTGCTGCTCTAGGTGAAGCATTGGATTTGTACCATAGTTTATCAATTGTGATGATCTTAGTAAGGGTGAATCGGGCTGCATTTAGGGCACTCTCAGCAAAGAAAAAAAGGTGAGTTTATGGGGCGTGGCCTGGCAGCAAATGTGAGCGGACGCACGGAGACATATCTACCCGCCGGCGGCAATTAAACAACGGGTTAATCCGACCACAAACTATCAAATGGGCAATAGAAAGAAACCAGGCGCTCACTTGTGCACTCCGGACCGCGGACCTGCTCAAAAATCCGGCTATCTGGACAGATATTTCCGAGACACAGTGACAGTGCTCAGAACAGGCCTGGAGGACAGCGAGATGGCACCATCTTCGCCATGTGCATCACCACCGCGCAGCCCTGCAGTACAGGACCATGCAGTACAGGACCCCCCAGCAGATCCAAGAATGGCAGATATTAAAGAACTCCTGCAAAATCTATCATCCAAAAATTATATAGCATCCATGCAGGATGAAATTACCTCTCTGGCGTCTGATATCAGGCAAGTGAATAGCCGGGTCGGGGACCTGGAAGAAGACTGGGATCAAATATTAAGCAGACTTCTATCCCTGGAGCGTACCCAAGAGCTCAGAGACACCAAACTCATGTACATGATGCGAAGTAATGAAGACCTAGACAACCGCAGCAGAAGGAACAACATACAAGTAAGGGGGATGCAGGAATCTCAGGGAAACAAGGAAGACCTCCATGCGTTACTGCAATCACTGTTTAAAGTGCTTTAAAGACCTGAAGACACACACATCTTGCTAGATAGAGCCCACAGGGCACTAAGACCCAGGGGTTTACCCCATGAAGCCCCAAGAGATATAATATGCAGGCTACATTACTATTCAGAAAAAGAAGCCATCATGCAGAGAATCCCCTGAAATTATTTATAATGAAGCAAAAATAACACTCTTCCCTGACCTCGCCTGGCTGACACTGAGAAGGAGAAGAGCCTTGAGGCCGATTACACAGGCACTTCAGCAAGCCAACATAAAATATAGATGGGGTTCCGATTTTCCTTAACTGCTTCCCACCAAGGAACACAAGCCACACTCACAAAGGCAGCGAATGTGGAAGAATTTTCCCAACGCCTAGGGATTCCCATCATCGAGATACCGGATTGGTACGACATTTCAGAACCAGAGACCCTGCAAGAACGACAACAATAACCAAGGGGACAAGCGTCGGACACCCAGAAAAGACCGGCTTGGAAAACACCGCCTGTATCCCCCTTCTTGAGATCCAGAAGGCCTCTAATGACTCCAAGGAGAATTAACTGAAGGCAAGCACTAAACTGCCGTTGACAAGTCACAGCAATTAAGGACTGGTACCATGGTTCTGAAGGACTTAGATCACATAATCTGAACTCTCCTTACTACATGGGAGTGGTAACTATACCATGGTTGTCTTTCTGTACAGGCCCGCGCAGACAATTTTGTACTGTTATTTTTGCATCCTACAATATGGTTGTATATAGCTAACACCAATACATAACATTAGCCACAATCTATATACTATGGGGATACAAGATAGCCCAATTCATAACAAACCCTTCCTACATACATATAAGCTTATCCGCCGTTTGGGGAGTCATATGCTCACCCGCGGTAAATCCACCACGATCCGCAGTAAAATACTTACGGATTATAACTCCCACCCTCCTCAGACCTGCTAGGAGTTAAACAGTTCTGAGGCAACTGATCTAAGCAGGACCACGCCTCTACCACACACCTTGTAGGCCCTGTGAATGTCCTGAGCGGTACTGACTTATCTCAATCCCAGCGTATCCCAACCTTAACCCCTGAGCCAGTGCACAGGACTGGGCTCACTCAGGGCTAAGTACCGACTCCTTTAAAGATTCCGGAGAACTCAGGCAAAACAGACACACTTTTTTCTAACACCGAGTTCAGGGCCTCTAATATACAAGAGTGCACAAAGCTCTCCTCGGGGGGCACTAGACTTGAAGTTTACGTTTATTTTCACTGTAAATAGTTTTCCCACATGTATACTACAATAACTATAACAAAAGCAAAGCTAGAGGGGTAGCGATTCTAATAGGACATAAAGTCCCCTTCACTTACTCAAGGCACATCATAGATGAGTCGGGGAGATTCATTATCCTGCAAGGGTTAGTGGGCACAGAAGCAATTACGCTGGTTGCAATTTACCTTCCAAATACACACCAAAGTGGAACCTTTAGAAAAATAATGGCGAAAGTGAAACAAAATACTAACGTTATTCTGATCATTGGGGGGGGATTTCAACATTTCGTTGGACGCTAATAAAGACAGTTCCTCCCACAACAGCAAACACTTAGCCGCCACGAGACGTCAAATGTAACACATCCTCCACTCCAACCAATTAATAGACTGTTGGAGGGTACTACACCCGACAACAAGAGACTATACACAATTTTCCGCACCAAATCAATCGTATGCTAGAATAGATTTTTTTTCCTGACCTCACATAGAGATCTCAGCATGATAAGAGACGCGTCCATAGGCCCTACAACATGGTCAGACCAATCTCCAATTTTCTTTACTTTAAACGTACCATCGCTCCCACGTCCCAAGGGATCATGGAAACTTAACCCATCTCTGTTACAAACACCAAAGGTCCAAGAATCAATAAGAGACACAATTAAACTATACTTTAAGGAAAATAAAACAATAGACACCACAGCCTACATACAATGGGAGGCACACAAAGCAGTGGTACGGGGAGAACTCATAAAATGGGGAGCTCAACTAAAAAGAGAAAAAAACAGAAAGATCAATGAACTACTAGACAAAATTGTACAGATAGAAAAATCACATAAACACCATCTATCCGACTCAATCTATTGCACTCTACTTGCCCTTAGGAAGGAATTCCACTCACTGCTGCAAGACAAAGCCAAAAAGGCCATCCTCTGGACAAAACGGTTATATTACGCACAAGGGAACAGGTGTGGTAAATTACTTGCCCAGGCCTTAAAACAGAAACAAACCCTAACTTATATCCCCAGAATCAGACGACCAGACAAGTCTATAGCGCATACGACAGATGACAGCGGAAACTTTCCGACAATATTACACCTCCCTATATAACCTAGAGGGCAGTGGGAAGGAAACGGGGGATATCCAAAAGTACCTTGAGGACAAATTTGACTCTATACTCCCAAAAGCAGCAATGAGATCCCTAGAGGAGCTGTTCACCATTGACAAAATCAAATTGGCAATCAAACAGACTCCACATAATAAAAGCCCAGGACCTGACGGGTTCTCAGCTACATACTATAAGACCTTCCAATCAGAACTCACCACGCACTCACCACGCACTTACTAGAGGCGATCAACTCTATCCCCTCACACAACCACATACCAATCCAAGCTTTAGAAGCGACAATAACACTGCTGCCCAAACCAGGGAAAGACCTAGAAAATTGTGCCAGTTACAGGCCAATATCCTTGCTCAATGTCGAAATTAAGATCTTTACCAAGATGCTGGCACCCAGGATTAAACCCTTTCTACAAGGTTTGGTCCACCCTGATCAGGCGGGGTTTGTCCCAACTAGGGAGGCGAAAGACAACACCTCTAAAATAATCTAATTAACCATGCGTCCCAAACACGAATTCCAACCTTACTATTGGCAATAGACGCAGAAAAAGCCTTTGACAGGGTGGACTGGACCTTTCTCTTTCAGACATTAGAGGCATTGAGTTTCTGGGGCAGATGGTTACAGTGGATTAAAGCACTCTATTCCCACCCAACGGTGCGTTTGAAGGTTAATGGACAATTATCTGAGCCCTTTAAGATAAATAACGGCACCCGTCAAGGTTGTCCGTTATCTACCATTTTGTTTATATTAACTCTAGAGCCCCTCTTGCAGGAAGTACGTAAAAGATCCAACATACAGGGAATCAGGGTCCAGAAACAGGACTATAAAGTCTCAGCCTTTGCCGATGACATATTATTCACCCTGGAACACCCCCTGTCCAGTCTTCCCTACCTGACAGAGATCCTAAATAGATACAGCAAACTGTCTAATTTTAAAATCAATGTGGACAAGTGTGAAATATTAAATATCAACTTGTCATCTCACCAAATACGAACACTAAAAGACGCATACCCCTACCAATGGGCAAATCATTCCATCAAATACCTTGGGGTCCAAATTACCAACTCTCACAGGACAATTTACAAAGCCAACTTCCCAGATCTGAACTTCCCAGAACAGCCATAAAATTTTTTGGATAGATGGAATAAACCGCACTTCCGATGGATGGGTCGGATAAATATAATCTCCATGAATGTGCTCCCACACATTCTCTACCTCCTCAATGCTATCCCAATACATGTTCCAGAACATTTTTTCAAATCTATCCAGACAATACTTACATCCTTCATCTGGGCGAAGAAACGCCCACGTATAGCCTTTAATTTACTGACAAGACCCAAAGAGAGGGGAGGACTGGGGTGCCCAAATATCCAAAACTATCATAGGGCAATACACTTGGGTAGAATTCTGGAGTGGTGCAGACGAGGACACAAAAAAGCCTGGGTGGACATAGAACAAGCACAAACACGAACCCCACTACATGCACTCCCGTGGACCCTGTCCACCCCCGGAGGCAAGATACCGCAGGGTTTGCCGACCGTTTCCCCCACACTAAAAATTTTGAAGACACTTTACCTGCGCTCGGAGTTTACACCAACTCCATCGCCAAACTACCCGATATCCCACAACCCTCTAATCCCCATAAGCTTTGGTAACATACTGCAAAGCCCCGGGAATACCCAGGAGGTAAACAAAGATGTAACGTTAAGGGACATATTCACGGATAAAGGATTCCCCCCCCCCCCCAATAAACCAAACAGGTTCCACCAACGCAACAATGATACAACTTTTCCAAGTCCACCAACTTAAACATTTCTTAAATACAGAAGGGTTACTACATTGGAAACCCAGGGAAGAAACTCAATTTGAGAAATTATGCTCCCGCCCGCCCACAAATAATACTATAGCTAAATGTTACCGCATAATCCAAGAAAGCGCAAACAAACAACTTCCCTGGTTTACGAGAGGGAACCAGACATGGTTTCCGACACACAGAGGAGCAGACCTGGCTCACAAACTTCACCAAAATGATGAAAACACACTCTAGCATTCTGCTGCAGGAAATTAATTATAAATTTCTCACGCAATGATACTTGGTCCCTATAAATGCACATAAAATCAACGCCACCAACTCTCCATTGTGTTGGAGGTGCGAGTTGGACCAAGGTACCTACCAACACATATGGTGGCACTGCCGGAAAATAGAGGGCTTTTGGAAGGACGTAGCGAGGATAGCAGAGCGACTCAGTAATATCCCATTGACCTTCACCCCTGAAACGCTACTGTTCCTATATCTTTGAACAAATTTAAACAGTCTCTTCTCTACTACGTGCTAACTGCCGCCAAATCGGTCATAGTGGGACTTTGGAGAACACACTAAAACCCTCTAGAAGGGATTGGTTTAGGAAAATAGACAACTTCCATCAGATGGAAGAACTGAGAATGACCGCAATGGGTAGATTTGCACAATACGTAGACACATGGATATCATTTCTAGAATCATATCCAGGCCCATGAGGGCACACAGATGTAGTAACGTAGCAATGATGAGGAAAGGAAGGAGAGAAGGGTAAACCATTTCGACACAGCCCTCACCACTAGAGATTGAGGTGAATGCCGAGGGAGCTGCACAAGAGTCAGGAGGGGACCCCAGAAGGGAACTAATGAAAACTAATAGCATCGACTGCTATCGAGCAGCTAAAGTAGCAAGGGTTGTGTACAATGTAATATTTTGCAAGACCTACTAATAACATGTCAGTTCTCTTCATATTGTTCTGTACTGTCTGTATGAACTCAACTAAGTTATGTAAGATGTCTATACTAAGTGAAGTGTAATATGTTTCTACAACTTGGTCAAGTCGTTTCCTCATTTTCTGTATTTCGCATGATCTATGTCTACTAGATCAAGTTTTATGCAAAACTCAATAAAAATAAATTTAAAAAAAAGGTGAGTTTATTTTATTAATTAAAAAAATGAATATTTTGAACGCTAAGGTGTTCCTTTAACCGTATCCTAAAATGTGATGTTACAGTCAGCAGTATCCATAACCTCAAATTTGCTGTGCAAGTGACATATTTAAATGTATATCTTATTTATTTGTTTGTTTGTTTATTGCAAGATGACATCCAGGGCAAAGAAACGTATTGTTCTCCCTTCTCGTCCAGAGCCCCCTAGTATTGAGCACATTTTGGAGGATGTCCGTGGCTCTATTTCTTCTGACCCAGTGTTTACCTGTGATCTTAATAACGGTAAGTAATCCTAACCTGCAATTAATTAAGCTCTCCTAGCTGAGATGCCTTCAATGACTTTTCCTTTTATCATTCATCTAGAGCAATTACATCCTACATATGACACGGTCAATGAAAGGGAGAAGCAATATGTGCAGAGCTGCTCTTATGTTGAAATGAACAGTAAATTAAAGGAAGCTCAGGCCCAACTGAAAGTAAAGTGTGATTCTTTGAGATGTGCTGGGGAAAAGTTGGAAGGCGTTATTGAGGATTTGAAAGTTGCCACCATGTGAATCTATCCAACTCTATACTATTGAAGTATTTATTCTCCTTTCAGGATCTCATGTTTTCACTGAAACACCTTGTTGAAGCTACAAATATTTTGGACATTTGACTTGCAAAGAGAACACAGACATTTAGGAATAATTCTGTAAAAAAATATTTTTTGAAGATGGTTTGAAACATGCTTATTGGTGGGTTCGGGGATTCGCTTTTATGTGTAATTAATGGGAGCTGTGTGAGCTTTATATTTCAATGTAGGATATGTGTGCACCCCCACATATGTATGACTTCTCTTTATGGTACCACACAGAGGACTCACATGTGGCATCTATCATTGCCACTATGTTGGAGGAGAAAGGTTACCAAGGCTATGTTGAACATCGAGATGCAGTAGCTGGTTTGCAGGCCATTTCTGTTACCTCTGAGGTAATTCAGTCCAGCAGAGTGTCCTTCATTCTCCTGTCTCCTCACTCTCTCGAAGACTGTTGGTACAAATTGGTGTCAGAATGTTGTTTGGTAAATGCTATAGAAAACAAAAGAGCTGGCAAGGTAATACCAGTTTATGTGGATATTAAAGAGGAGCAGAGACCACAAACCTTACAGAATCTAACGAGTCTTAGCTACAATAGCAAATATTTTCAGAAGAAACTTCTTGATAGTTTGAAGTCTGTTATGCTTCATTGACCAAATAATTTGAACGGCTCTTCTACTTCATTTGCTTCTTCATATACACAGACATCATCAGGAAAAAAGTAAAGTTCTGTGAAGTTAAATAGTTTGATTCAGCCTTATTTGTTAATTAAGCAAAAAAAAGATAGTTTGTGCTACAATATTATTTAAAACGTGGACAACACAATAAAAGCTATCAGATTTTACTTTTGTCAGAATTAATGTCCCATGGATGTGTGGAAATCCTTCAATGGCAGTTGAGTCGATCTATTTTTCAGGGCTGCTAGTTTTGCTGGTCATGATGCACAGTTAGGCAGCATATTATTCTGAAGCAACTCCTCTTCCTCTTCTGGTAAACGTATGGAGATTGAATGAAATTATAGTACAGGAAAAACAGGTTTTAAACAGGATAAATATAGCTCTCTGCTAGCTGAAATTTTGAGTTGTCTAATGTAGATTTACTCTCCTACTGACTATATTTTTTTCCTTATTTAAAAAAAAAAAAAAAAAAAGCCAGTGATTATCAAATTCTTGTTTGGGTGTGGTTATGTAATAGTGTTTGCATTTGTATGCAGTTGTGCATTTGTGTGTAGTGTTGGCATTTTAATGTAGCTGTGCATTTGTATGTAGTGTTGGTATCTGAATGCAGGGGTGTATTTGTTTATTGTGTTGGTGTTTAAATGCTGGGATGTATAGATATATAAACATACGCTGCCACACACCGATACATAAATACAGATATACACATGCGCCCAGTGACCCACAAATGCATACACAGTGACCAATACACATGCACAGTGACGCACACATACATCCACACACACTCAGTAACCCATAGAGTCCCACCTTCATTGCAAGCATATGCACATGCCCCTTGTCTTTCTTCATTCACTGCTTCCTCCTGCTGGCCGCCATGCAGATACAGGTCCCAGAGGAGTGTGGGCAGAGGGGAAACTAGTGAACCTGGCAGGGCCCCTGTGAGGGACAGCCAATGGGCCATGCCGCTGCTCCCCGCGCCATTCTCTACATAAATGCTGGAGGACCATCTGTCACTTCCTCCCAGCACTGCGGATGTAAAAGGTGCCTGGTCGTGGTCTCAAATGGCCGTGGTACCTTACCAGGCCCCTGTTAAGCAATAATACCCATCGGGTGGCCCTAAATGTATGGGCCACCCGATAGGCCTCCTCCAGTGTGCGGGTCCTGGCGCAGCTGTACCTTCAGTAGTTCCAACACTGGGGCAGGGGTAGGCAACCTTTTAGTAGTACTGTGCCAAAATAAGATCTTGGTGTGCCGGTCCTAAGTTTTTAAATTGAGCTGTGTATGTTGCCATATTATTTATGGGTATTGCAGTTGCTTTGCTGGATTGTATATGTGCGTATGTGGCCTATAGTATTGTATTTGTTTGTGGTATTGTGTATGATACCTATGAATGTGGGCTACGTACTTGTGTGTGGATGATATGTCACATTGTGTGTTTGGTGTATGTGTGGGGCTGCTTGGGGTATTGCATGTAAGAGTGCTTGTAGGTTGTGTGTGTGTGTGTATGTTTGTGGATTGTCAGTGATGTTGTGTTTGTGGGGAATGTGTGTGTTTGCTTGTGGGCTGTTTGTTTTATTTGTATGAAATGGAGGCTTATTCTGCAGCTCTGTGTATATCTAGCAGTGCGGGTTGCTTCCCTGTGGTTCAGTTGGGACCTGGCTGGCCAGGTACAGGTCAGGGGCAGGAGCTGTGATAGCTGCTGCAGGCTGTTCTACCAGAGTACAGATTACCATTCACAAGTCCTGGGGTGAAGTCAACTCAGATCATTTCCTGTAAGTTCTGCAGTGCATAAATTGAGAATTGTCCCTCACTACCTGCAATCACTGCTCGGTTTGCACTAGCAGATATTTGAAGTCCAATGGGACTCCCGATAGACCAGAGCCTATTTGGCTCTGGCAGCCTTAGTGCCGTGCAAAGGCGCCTCAAGTACCATTCCTGGTTATGTACTTTGCAAATCATTGGGAACCAGTTTGAAGTTGTCATGGTACCTGTAATATCCACCTCAGAGGAGGTCAGGCATCAGGACATGGTCCCCCACATGGGGGCTTGTACTCCCGGTCATTTCAGCATTTTCGACCGTTTACACGCCGGCCGCGATAGCTCTGCCCCCTTTTATGACGCGAGGCCCAATAGCCGACGTCATTGCCGTCACGGGTCGCCAGAAACCACAAATCAGGACCTTTTGGGGGCGTGGTCACCAATCAAGGAGGCAAGGTATAAAAAGGAATCATTTGCAATAACTCATTGCCCTGTCGTGGTTCTAGCTTGGCTGGTCACTCAGTGCTCTTGGTTCCTTGTGATTATTTGGTTTTGACTTGGCTTTCTATTATCGTTCTTGCTACCTTCTCCTACCCTTTGACCCGGCTTGTCTCTCACTTACCTGTCCTCCAGTTCCCTCGACCTCGGCTTGTCTTTTGACCATTCTTTGTCTCCTCTACACGTTAGTCCGGCCATTCTAAGGTCCGGTATACGTACCTTGTCCTCTTCTGCATTCTGCGTGTTGGATCCCTGTCACGATCCTGACAGAATTGAGTTAATGAAATCAATAAATAGCTTTCATCTGTACAATTAGTTTTTTTATTGCCTCCTGTCTTCCCTTAGAATGCCTGTGTTTGAAACCTGAAGATTATTTTCTATTTTTATTAGCATTTATATAGCATCAATAGCTCGGTGCTACTTTCTAAGTGCTGTTTCTAAGTGTGTAGTTGGAGATATTCTGGAGAGTTTTTTACAGAAGCTTCAACTGTCTAAGAGTTGTGCTAAGAGCTTTTCTACTGTTACAGGTAAGGTTACTGATTGCACAAGGTTTGAATTCCTGTTGGTAATTATAAGGCATTTGATTTGATTAAGCTAGTTACTTGCTGTTGATTGCTGGTTAATTAGCTATTGTTTGCAAATAAGCAGAGGCCTACCCAGGTGTTAAACATTCCTAGTGGGCGGTGATTTTAGGAGTTATATAAGGCCTGGTTCCATTAGCTTGTCTAATATAGCTTGGTGCTACTTCTAAGTGCTGTTTCTAAGTGTGTAGTTGGAGATATTCTGGAGAGTGCTGTTTCTAAGTGTGTAGTTGGAGATATTCTGGAGAGTGCTGTTTCTAAGTGTGTAGTTGGAGATATTCTGGAGATAACCTGGAGGTAATCTGAGGTATTCAGGAGGATAAAGAAAAAAGTTAAGATTTGTTAGATTTAAATTATTCTTATAATTGGAATGGCAGGCTTAGTTCAGTGTAACAATTGCTATGCATTTGTTTCACGTTCCACTTTTTGGAGGTTTGGTTGTTGTCTAATCTGTAGACAGTTCTCTATCTTGCGGCAGGAGATTGTATTTTTGAAGTCTGAGATTTGTAAATTATCTGGTGAAGAAACTCAGACTGGAACTGCTGCAAAGCCACTGCCGCAGAGACATGCTAGGAAAGGCAGATGGATTACTGTAGGATCTGGTAGACTTAGAGTTGTGGATAAAAGGCATTTTGCACAGTCTGTTGCTCTTCATAATTCATTTTCTGCACTTTCAGAGTGTAATGGTGTTGTGGAGAGAGGCACTGAGGCTAGTGGTGTTGTGGAGAGAGGCACTGAGGCTAGTGGTGTTGTGGAGAGAGGCACTGAGACTAGTGGTGTTGTAGAGAGAGGCACTGAGACTAGTGGTGTTGTAGAGAGAGGCACTGAGGCTAGTGGTGTTGTGGAGAGAGGCACTGAGGCTAGTGGTGTTGTGGAGAGAGGCACTGAGACTATTGGTGTTGTGGAGACCGGCTTGGAGACTATGGTGAGGCCTAATAGAAAGCAGTTGTTGTTGGGGGATTCCATTATATGAGGTGTGGAGATGGACAATGGTGGTCTTGTGAGGTGTCTTCCCGGAGCTACTGCTCACAGAGACAGGAGACGTATCTGTAATATTGTTAAGCAAGCAAAGCAGGAAGGGGAATTGGATGTACTTGTCCATCTAGGGACAAATGACTTGGCTTGCAGTGAGGTTTCAGAGGTTAAGGAAGTTTTTAGTGTTTTTGCCAATGATATACGGCAGGTTGCTTCCACACTGTCATTCTCTGAAGTTCTGCCTGTACTTGCCTCAGAGCGACAGAGGATCTTGATATTCACAGGACTTTAATTTGTGGCTTTGAGGTGAATGGGTGTCGAGGAGACAGGGATTTGGCTTTATTTCTCATGGTAGCTCTGTTTGGAATGGAGATAAGCTGTACAAAAGATGGTTTTGCATCTTTCTCAAGAGACAAATGTTCTCAGTGAGCAGTTCAGAGGTTTTGCTAGGATGTATTTAAACTAGGAGGGGGGGAGGGGGGGAGGGGGGGGGACAAAGGGTGATAAAACATCAATCCAATTGTCCCCCAAAACAAGGACAGAAGGTGCCTGTAGCAAGTGTGTTAAAAAATTATAAGCTTAGAGTCATGTCTACAAATGCTCGCAGTTTAGGGAATAAGATCCATGAACTTGTGGCAATAATGGCAACTGATAGTGCAGATTTAGTCGCTGTTACTGAGACAAATGGTACAATGAGAAAAATGACTGGGACATAGCAATACCAGGGTACTCTTTATATAGGAAAGATAGGGAAGGCAAGAGAGGGGGAGGGGTGGCCTTGTATGTGAAGGATAGCATAAAATCTAGCCTAATAATAAAAAGTTAGTAGAGGCAAACATAGAGTCCGTTTGGAGCTACGTTAGAATTTGGTAATACAGCACAGTAACTGCATTGTAGGTGTGATTTATAAGGCCCAGGACAAATTGAAGAGAGTTAGATAATACTAGTTGAGGAAATAGCTAAAATGACAATGAAGGGGAAGTTATCATCATGGGTGACTTTAATCTTCCCTGATGTAAATTGGAAAACAAAATTAGCTACTTGTGCCAGGAGCACACATATTCTAAACTCCTTACTGGGATTGTCTCTAAAACAAGTTGTTGAGGAGCCAACTCGTAAAGAGGCCATACTAGATTTAGTGTTAACAAATGGAGATTTGGTATCAGATGTTACTGTAGGTGAAAGTTTAGGATCCAGTGATCATCAGTCAGTGTGGTTTAATATAAGAACAGAGTCACACCACACAAAAACAAAAGTTTTAGACTTTAGAAAAACAGACTTTTCTAAAATTAGAATATGGGTAGAGGAGTCATTATCAGACTGGAGCAATTTAAATGGAGTCCAAGAAAAATGGGATTATTTAAAAGTTGCACTATTGAAGGCAACAGAAAAATTGCATTAGGCTTGTCAGTAAAAGCAAAAAATTCAAGAAACCACTGTGGTACTCCACAGATGTGGCCAAAATAGTTAAAAACAAAAAGTTAGCATTTAGGAATTATAAAAAAAACCAGAGTGAGGAAGACAAAATGATCTATAAGATTAGGCACAAAGAGGCTAAGCAAGTTATAAGAGCTTCAAATCACACACAGAAGAGAAAATAGCACAGTCAGTAAAAAAGGGGGATAAAACATTTTTAGATACATAAATGAGAAAAGAAAAGTAAAACAAGGATTAGTTAGATTAAAAACAAAAGAAGGAAGGTATGTAGAAGAGGATAAAGGTCAGGCTGACTGCCTCAATTAATATTTTTGTTCTGTATTTACAGAAGGAAAGGGACCTCAGTTGAGAAAAAGGATAAATGAGTCATTTATTACACGTGAGTTTACAGAGGAAGAGGTTCTATTTCAACTGTCAAAAGTAAAGACAAATAAGTCAATGGGACCTGATGGAATACACCCAAAGCTATTAAAAAGAGCTTAGTGGTGTACTAGCAAAACCATTAACAGATTTATTTAACCAATCATTGTTAACAGGAGTAGTCCCAGAAGATTGGAAGTTAGCGAATGTTGTGCCCATTTACAAGAAAGGTAATAGGGAGGAGTCGGGCAACTATAGGCCAGTAAGCCTTACTTCAGTAGTGGGGAAAGTGATGGAAACCATGTTAAAGGATAGGATTGTTGAACATCTAAAAACACATGGATTTCAAGATCAGAGACAACATGGGTTTACTTCAGGGAGATCATGCCAAACTAATCTTATTGATTTTTTTGATTGGGTAACTAAAATTATAGATCAGGGTGGTGCAGTAGACATTGCTTACCTAGATTTCAGTAAGGCTTTTGACACTGTTGCACATAGAAGGCTTATCAATAAACTGCAATCTTTAAGTTTGGATTCCAATATTGTTGAATGGGTAAGGCAGTGGCTGAGTGACAGGCAACAGAGGGTTGTAGTTAATGGAATATATTTGAAGCTTGGACTTGTCACCAGTGGGTACCTCAGGGATCTGTACTTGGACCCATTCTCTTTAATATTTTTATTAGTGATATTGCAGAAGGTCTTGATGGTAAGGTATGTCTTTTTGCTGATGATACTAAGATATGTAACAGGTTGATGTTCCAGGAGGGATAAGCCAAATGGCAAATGATTTAGGTAAACTAGAAAAATGGTCAGAATTGTGGCAACTGACATTTAATGTGGAAAAGTGCAAGATAATGCATCTTGGACGTAAAAACCCAAGGGCAGAGTACAGAATATTTGATAGAGTCCTAACCTCAACATCTGAGGAAAGGGATTTAGGGGTGATTATTTCTGATGACTTAAAGGTAGGCAGACAATGTAATAGAGCAGGAAATGCTAGCAGAATGCTTGGTTGTATAGGGAGAGGTATTAGCAGTAGAAAGAGGGAAGTGCTCATGCCATTGTACAGAACACTGGTGAGACCTCACTTGGAGTATTGTACACAGTACTGGAGACCGTATCTTCAGAAGGATATTGATACCTTAGAGAGGGTTCAGAGAAGGGCTACTAAACTGGTTCATGGATTGCGGGATAAAACTTACCAGGAAAGGTTAAAGGATCTTAACATGTATAGCTTGGAGGAAAGACGAGACAGGGGGGATATGATAGAAACATTTAAATATATAAAGGAATCAACACAGTAAAGGAGGAGACTATATTTAAAAGAAGAAAAACTACCACAACAAGAGGACATAGTCTTAAATTAGAGGGACAAAGGTTTAAAAATAATATCAGGAAGTATTACTTTACTGAGAGGGTAGTGGATGCATGGAATAGCCTTCCAGCTGAAGTGGTAGAGGTTAACACAGTAAAGGAGTTTAAGCATGCGTGGGATAGGCATAAGGCTATCCTAACTATAAGATAAGGCTAGGGACTAATGAAAGTATTTAGAAAATTGGGCAGACTAGATGGGCCGAATGGTTCTTATCTGCCGTCACATTCTATGTTTCTATCAACATATATCCTATGGTCTAAAATTATGCAGTGCTATTTTTAAATAACTTCAAATAATGGTACAGTTGAAATTATGATTGCTCCACTTTTAGACCTCCATCTAAGTATTGCTCTTTATAAATAACCTTGCAGTCATCAATATTTTAAATCCCAGACATAGGTACATTTGAATGACTTTTCATGTTTATATTTTGAAAGATTACACAGAAGAACCATAATCACTACAGTCTGCTTTAGTCTACCTTGTCCACCAGCCCCATAATGTGCATACAGTCTTCTCCTTTAGGAGAACGTGGTTAGTTCTATTGAGCTAAGTGGGGCTACGCTCACTGGCCCAGAGCTGAGTGCAGTCCTGTATAGGCTGTGTTTAGCTGTAGACAGGTTTTTCCTTATTCCTGTACATCAAGCAAGCCAAACTTGTGTCCCAAAATGAATATATTGCGGCCTGCCTGCCCTGGGGCCACTTTGTACTGAGGCTGCGACCAGCCGTAAGCACGGAAAGATATTTCCTGATTGTTTCTGGTCTTCACTCCCATGGCCGCAAGAGAGTAGAGTGGCTGTCTGTCTGCAGAGCAGGCCAGCCACTCCCATTTCCTCCTGCTCGCAGTGCTAACTGAGCATCTGGTCTGCTTGAGCAGAGCTGGAGCTGGAGGACTGATGGCTCTCTTAAGGTATTTGATGAGGAGCTTGGGGGACCTTTCTATGTAGTGTGTTAAATTGGGGAAGGAGTGGGCAGTGTATTCATTTTACGGGAGGGAGGGAGTGGGGCAGTGTATTGGAGGGGGGTGGGAGTGTGTTAAATTGGGGGATTAATTATGTGTATTAATTTGAGGGAGGGGGCCAGTGTATTTGAATTGGGGGTGGGAGTGGGGCAGTGTATTAATTTAGGGAGGGGTGCAGTATATTAAATTGGGGGACGGAGGAGGCAGTGTATTAGAGTGGTGATAGGGGGCAGTGTGTTAAATTGGGGGGAGGTCAGGGTATTAAATTGGTGGAGGGGGGAGCAGTGTATTAGATTGGGTGGCGGGTGCAGTGTATTGGATTAGGGGCAATGAATTGTATTTGTGGGCAGTGTATTAGATTGGGTCTGCATGAAGGTGCTGAACGCTCCCCATGGAGATGCTGATTGGCCACCAGCTTTTTGCCACAAATGCACAATAGTTCCCCAATGCTTTCCTATCTGAAAGCATGGATTGGCTGAGATCATCAAAGTGAAGAACACACTCATAGGTCTTCAAAATCAACAAGATAACGTAACTTGTTTTTTTACAGCTGTGCAACAGCATACATTTACCATTAAGTCCCATTACCCATTTTCTTAATATTTCAAGGTAGTTGGACTGAAACATTGGTTTATATGCAAATGCACGTCTCCTTAAAATAAATTTGCTCTTTTGTTTACTTTGAAGCCCGACGAGCGTGAGGACGTCCAGGATCAGTTAAATACTTTTTTTTTTATACTGTACTTTTCTAAATAAACTTCTGTTTTTATGAAAACTAAAGCTTTAGTTTTTTTTTTTTGTGGCCCATATAAACTTACACCTTGTTTATTTGGCCCATGTTGGCCTTTGGGTTTGACATGCTTGCTGTACATTATTGTAATTTGAGAACTTGATATTGGGATAGTTGAAGTAAACTTGTCTTTCCAGATTCAACTTAACAGCTCCTACAAAAGTAAATATTTTATTTATAATACTGATAAATTATTCATTAACATTAGGAGCTGGTTTTAAATACCGTCTGTGGGTGTTACATTATTGTTGTTTTTTTGTTGTTGTTTTTTTTCTGTTTTTTGTTTTTTTTTACCAGATGCTCCATCTCATTATTACTCTGTGTTATTACTATCTTCAGTAATTGTACATGTCTTTTGTAGCATTTATGCTTCACCGCATCTCCCCTCATTATGGTACCCTGTTTTAACAACTGTATATGGTACTGTCTCTGTTCTCAGAAAAGTTTGATTACTTAAAATTAATTAAAATGGGGCCGCCTATTCCTGGCACCAATATACTACAATGCGCTCTAGCAGTAATGATGCGTGGAGTGGTCCTCTGTCTTTAAAGTGATTGCGTATGTCAAGGGAACTTTAAGTATTCTGAAATTGTTCAAAATACAATAAAACTCTTAAAGCTGGCTTTTAATAAAAAATAAAAAATAAAAAAAAAGGGTTTTCTTGATAATGAAATTAGCAGAAATGTTAGGCAGAGAGCAGGGAAGTCTGTCTTCCTTTGGCTGGGGAGGGTCTAGACATGGTGCACCCTGACAAACATCCTGCTGGTATATGTTTTGAACCTTTTAGTAGCACAGCCCTCTGGGATAAGAAAAGTTTCACCACACTCCCTTAGCCTTCTTTTATTATGTCAACTCACAGAAGATAAACCAAAACAGATTCTTACTCAACACATTCTAACCTATCTACTAAACAGCAATTGCAGTACAGCAATCCAGAGGGATTATGGGTCTGCAATTTGCTGATAAGGTATCACGTAGTAGGTCCTACTACTAGCTGGACTCATTCTTTCTTGCTTCCTCTATAATATATGCATAAACAAAAGAAACTGGTAACCTGAAAAACTGAGACTAAACAATAAAAGAACAGTTTGTTGACTGTGAACTGTGAACCAAGACAAAAGGTCTTCTTGCCTGTTGGGTAAGTTGTGGGCAGTGTCTGGGTAGTCAAGTTCCTGACGAAGTGGAATCTCCATCTCTCGTTATAAAAGGCACAGCACAATGTAATCAATAGAGAAAATGGCTGCATGTTAGCTCAGCTCCGGCAAGGCAGGCACTAAAAATAGCTGGAACACAAGTACCAACGAAAATGGGGAACCCCAAAAAACCACAGAGCGCCCACACAAGCAGCGAGAAAGCACCCGCTGAGAAACCTGGCTCCGTTTCGAAATTCTTTAAAGATTATGGCGGAACATGGCAAAGCAAATATGGCGCCGATGGAGGGAGAACACCTCTCCACTCCACCCAGCCCTGCTGCCTCCGAGACATCAGCAGCATCTGCGGACCAAGACATTAAGGACCTGCTCAGAAATTTGCCCTCCAAGACAGACCTCACTGCAATGCTGGAGAAATTTGAAACTTCATTCCAGCGAAAGATGGAGGGACTGGTAGTTGAAATCCGGGAGGTAGGCCTCCGTGTCCAAGACCTGTCAGACCGTTTAGACGCCCTCAGAGAGACACAACAGCGAAGGGTAACTCGCAGACAGTGCCACTGTTCTGGACATACAAGAAAGTCGAGCTGGGCCTGATACTGAGACATTGAACTACATGCCGCTCCTCCAAGTCATAACGAGATGCACGAGAGACTTCCATGGACCAGGTCGTATGCTCATAAGTTCACAATTTGTGTATGAAGTATTGTTGTATGTTGAATGTAGTGACACAGGCTAACTAAGCAAAGCTGCACCCGCTAAAAAAAAAAATATTCCTGTTCTAATTTTGGGTAACTATGACATCTCCGCCCTGGAACCTAGCCTCTACCCTTCCTCTACACCTCACCCCATAACGCAACAACTGAAGTTATGATCTCCCCCAGCTCCAATCGAACACGACAAATGCAAGTGCCTGCTTGCCCACCGACACATGCACGCCACACACCAACAATATAGCACATACATCCCCGCAGTCACACAGGCTGCACCATCACCGACACACCTCACGTTTCCTCAGAGCTGGCGACGTCTACTGACCCACCCTCTGTGATACTCGAACCAGCACAGGTGGACACCGACTGGCAACCTAACTGAGGCTCCAGCATTTCACCTAAACCACTACATAAACATAATCCAGAGGTGCACAGGATAAACTACTGCATACATTCCTTACCAACATACAGCTCCTGGATGCCTGGAGGCTCCAGCACCCAGACACACGTGACTACACGTTTTACTCAGCACCCCACGGCACATACTCGAGAATATTCCTAAACGGTGTAGGGATGTCCAAACTCATGCATACCGACATAGGCAGCATCACTTGGTCAGACCACGCGGATATATCAATTACGTTAGACAAACTCAAATACTCCGCGACATGGACCTGGCACCTTAACATAAGCTTACTAAACAGCGACACAATATGTGAGGACACGCGCACTCTCATTATAGAATATTTCACACAAAACACCACACCAGAGGTAGACTCAATAGCGCTATGGGCGGCCCACAAAGCGGTCATGAGAGGACACTTCATAAAAGCGGCAACGCATAAAAATAAATGCAACACCCGAGCTCTAATAGAATTTCAGGATGCCCTGAGAAAAGCAGAACAGCACAAACAAAATCCCACAGCCGAAAAATTAGCTGTACTCACCGCTCTAAGACATTCAATCAGGGGGATCCTGCTTGAGGGGGTCGCACACTCCATCCAGAGATCTAGGTGACTGTTCTACGAAAAGTCCAACAAAATGGACTCCCTGTTAGCCAAAGCACTGCACCCCCGCGGGGACCACAAACCCATCACAAAAATACGCGCACACACCCAGGAACTAGTAAAGATTCCCCAAGACATAAACGTTATTCACGGAGTTCTACTCGAACCTCTACAGTCAGTCCCAACACCTACAAAGCCTGCCGGAACAAATACGTTCCTCACTACGTACCTTTCTTGCCAGCATAAAACTTCCTGAGATAACAGATGATGACCCCACAAACTTACAAGAACCAATCTCCCAATTAGAAGTAGAAACTGCCATAGCGGTCTTGAAAGGGAACAAAGCCCCAGGCCCCGACGGCTACGAGATAGGGTATTACAAGAAATTCAAAGCGGAACTGGCCCCCCAACTCACCTCTTTATATAACCACTTTAGGACAGGCGGTGTGTTAGATGCCGACATGGCACTAGCCAACATCAAGCTCATCCCGAAACCCGGGAAAGACTTGCAGCAAATTACAGGCCCATCTCCCTGATCAACTCGGACCTTAAAATATATGCTGTCAGGGTATTTATATCGGCAGACATTTTGTGCTATGATAGAAATTAAAAGTGTATATTCTGAGTCACTCTGAACAGACCAGACTCCATTTTGTTATTTTCAAGTTAACAAAAAGACACAAGATTTCTATCTGTAAAACTAACCACTTTGCCAGAGCTAAAGGAATGCATATTATAAACAAACCAAATGATAAGCAGAAAGGGGGTTGGATAAACTGTCTAAAATGCTAATGGAATATAATCAATTCTAAACCCAGACATTTGTGACAGAGAAGATTAAATAATTTTATTTTACCTTCTAGATATGTAAGGTACCAGTGTATGGAAAAGGTTAAACTTAGTTCATGATCTGCCATATCAGAAATTATAGCAGGAATTGCAGACACTAAGTCTGGACAAAACTAAGAGAAAACCCTTTGAAATTTTAAGTTATGGCACTATCAAGATAGGCCAAAATGACGTCAAAATAGCCACCAGGAAAAGTTAACTCTTTCCTGGATAGGTATGTTTAGTGGGACAAGACTGCCCTCTATAGATCAAATACCTAAATTGCGATCTGGAAGATAACCACACCTCTAGTGCTTCTATTGGGTTATCAACTGATGACGTACAGAGAGTCTGGCCCTTTAAAAGTTAAGACAAAGGGAAGATAGAGGTATGCGGATGCAAAGGAGAAGGAAAAAGAGGAGAGAGGAATTGGAAGTTTGGGGGACTCCAACTCGGACAACATCTGAGACTAACACTCTACTCTTAAAACTCTAACACTTAGAATTTTACTGACTTCCTAACCAACACCACCTTTCACCATAACTCAATGCAGACAGACATCCAAATAAGTATGATATATGACTAGGATAAAGCACGGTCAGATTTCCATATTAATAAATTTTAGTTAACTAAAGAATATATAGTTATAAACATTCCATTCTGCAGGTGGAATTAAGAATAATTATATATTGATGTGATATCACGTGGTAGCATACCGTTGTTTTTATCCAGGTGTATTGATTTGCTCTAATATAAGATAGATATCTTTTAGACAAATTAAAATCTGCTTATATAATCATGGTAGATTCTCTTATTGGATGGTTCCAGGAAATGACTAATGAACTGGTTTAAATGTTATTTTATTTAAAATTACATAAGAATAGATCTTAACTACCTAGGAGATCTAGCCAGCATTGAAAGGGTTATTCTAACTGTTAGCCAGGGTTTTATGGCCCTTCGCTGTGAAAAGTTTCACTTTCAGTCTGTGTTAAAGATACCTCATAAATCAGAAGACTTGACAGAAAATGCTGTTTAGCCATTGAAATGTGTATAGCCATTACTTTGTATTGCATACCATTTTATACTGGATATTCATTGATTATTGTCACGCATGTTACATATTATTATTATTATTAATTAATTTGTTATTATAAAATAAAATCGATTTTTATAACAAAATTGTGATATTATTATATGAAATACTTCTCACTTACGATAAACGTTCTTTGGGATCTGAGAATTGAATTACCGTATATACTCGAGTATAAGCCGAGTTTTTCAGCACATTTTTTGTGCTGAAAAACCCCAACTCGGCTTATACTCGAGTCAATGTCTGTATTATGGCAATTTATATTGCCATAATACAGACTGGGGGCTGGCAGAGCTGTTACTTACCTCTCCTGCAGCTCCTGTCAGCTCCCTCCTCCTCCGCGCCGGTCCGGTCAGCTCCCAGTGTAAGTCTCGCGAGAGCCGCGGGGTCATAGTGCGGCTCTCGCGAGACTTACAGTGTGAGCTGAGAGAAGAGCTGCACGGACCGGCGCGGAGGAGGAGAGAGCTGACAGGAGCTGCAGGAGAGGTAAGTAACAGCTCTGCCAGCCCCCTCCTCCCCCCACTGAACTGCCAATGCCACTGGACCACCAGGGAAGGAGAGCCCCCCTCCCTGCCATGTATCAAGCAGGGAGGGGGGACAAAAAAATATATAAATATAATAATATATTAATAATAATAAAAATAATATAACAAAATAATAATATATACATATAAATAATAATATAAATAATAATAAAAAAATAATATAACAAAATAATTAAAAAAAAGAATATATAAATAATAAAAATAATAATAAAAAAATAATATAACAATTTTTTTTAAATAATATCAATTAATAATATATAAATATAAATAATAATAAAAAATAATATAACCAAAAAAATTAATTTTTTTTTATAAAAATGCCCACCCCCCACCAAAGCTCTGCAACACAAACACACACTGCATCACACACACACACACTGCACTCATACACATACACTGCACTCATACACACATACACTGCATTCATACACACACACTGCATTCATACACACACACTGCACTCATATACACACTGCATTTATACACACACTGCGCACTCATACACACACTGCGCACTCATACACACTGCATTCATCATATACACACACTGTAAATAAATATTCAATTAATATAATTTTTTTAGAATCTAATTTTATTTAGAAATTTACCAGTAGCTGCTGCATTTCCCACCCTAGTCTTATACTTGAGTCAATAAGTTTTCCCAGTTTTTTTGGGTAAAATTAGGGGCCTCGGCTTATATTCGGGTCGGCTTATACTCGAGTATATACGGTAGTGGGCAATTCTCACTGTTACTATTATTATCCCATAAATATCCCCACAATGCCAAAATCCTGGCGGCCAAGTTGGCACCAATGCTCACACGCTTAATCCACCCGGACCAGGTGGGGTTCATCCCCGGTAGACAATTATATGAAAACACACAAAGGGGGGTGGTGCTAACATGGTACATGCAGAAATCCGATAGGATGCGGAGAAGGCTTTTGACAGGGTGCAATGGCTATACTTGTTTAGCCTGCTGGAAGAGTTGGGCTTCCCAGGAGCCTACATCCAGGCCACATGCGCTCTATATACCAACCTGAGAGCCCAAACCCTAATTGCAGGGGCCACTAAGACCCCCTTCCCCCTTTATAATAGAACACGCCAGGGTTGCCCATTATCTCCGCTGCTATTCGCCATTTCCCTAGAGCCGCTACTACAAGCCATACGCCAACACCCACACATACAGGGAATTAGTGTAGCAAGGAAAACCTTCAAAGTATCAGCATATGCAGACGACGTGCTGCTGACTCTCACAGACCCCCTGACCTCCATGGACCACTTGACGAGCCTCTTGGACACGTACGGAGCCCTGTCGGGCTATAGGGTGAACCTTACTAAATCCATGGCACTAACATTTCACCTCCCGGCCCGAGACAGAGCACTAATATTTGACAGACATCGCCTACCCACCACTGCAGACAACATACCCTATCTAGGGGTTAAACTCACAGCGCAGCACAAACACCTGCATGAGACTAACAACTGCTACCCATTGATTCACACACTCCTGAGGGACCTGGAGCAGTGGACAGACAAACCCATCTCATGGCTAGGTAGACTCCACTCAGTTAAAATGAACATCCTCCCCAGATTGCTGTTCATGTTCCAGGCCCTGCCCACACCGGTTAAGAGAACCTATTCACGCTCCAAAAAGCGATTGACATGTTCATTTGGCAAAAGAAACGACCCAGAATAGCCAGGAAACTCCTGTATCGACTCAAGGACAGAGGGGGACTGGGGCTACCGAACATGTACCTATACTACCTGGCAGCGCAGACAGCGCAAATAGCATACTGGCACTCCGCACCAGACACCCGACGATGGGTTGAGCTAGAATCTGGGATCAAATAACAACCAAATACTCCCCAGGTTCCCCTCCCCAATGTCCCCCGTACTTAGGAACCGATCCTTCCCACCAGGAATGACAGCAGGTGACTTTGGCGGCCTGGAGAGAGCAGGTCTCCAGAGATATTGCCACCTATACAAAAATGGCCAAGTAGTCACATACGATCATCTCAGGCTACAATCCCCCCTAACAACCAGGGACTTCTTCTGCTACCTCCAGTTACGAGACTTTGCTAGCTCCAAAGAAGTCAGAGAGATGGCCACCATCCCAGTTACCTGGTTTGAGAATATTTGCTACCAGGAAAAACACCCCAAGGGACTTATCTCATTACTATACTCTCACCTTAGCGGGGAGGCCAAAGAGTGGGGGGAGCTCCGATACTAGAAGGCTCCGACTGGCAGGACATTTGGGAGGCCACAGCCCGATCATCCATTTGTGTCACCCTCCAGGAGCAGTCATTTAAAATTCTTTTCACGTGGTACACCACACCAATAAAACAATTCCGCATGCAGATCACCTCTACAGATCTATGCTGGCACAGTTGTGGGGAACAAGGCACCTATGTGGTGGAAATGCCCCTCAGTACAGGCTTATTGAGTTCAAATCATCAACCTAAGCTCGAACATAATGCAGAGACCATTACAGTTAGACCCATGGGTTTTGGCTGAGTTCGTGGGATCTGAGTGCTTTTTGGATATGTTGGGCGCTCAGATCCATGCTCTCCGGGGATATAGGACTTAAGGGGGTGTCTTGTGGATAACTGTATGTTTTGGGGTGATTGTTGTACATGTCCTGGACATGAGAGTTACATAGTTACATAGCTGAAAAGAGACTTGCGTCCATCAAGTTCAGCCTTCCTCACATTTGTTTTTTGCTGTTGATCCAAAAGTAGGCAAAAAAACCCAGTTTGAAGGACAATTTTGCAACAAGCTAGGAAAAAAATTCCTTCTTGACCCCAGAATGGCAGTCAGATTTATCCTTGGATCAAGCAGTTATTACCCTATGTGACAGACCCATCTGTCTGGATTATAAATGCTGTGTTCGCCTGTTTTGCCGGTTACATGAATTTCCCCATTCGTATGCTTTATTCAAGGGAATGTCGGTTTTTGTCGAACGGAACTACCGAACGGATGGCCACCCAGAAGAGAAGTGTGCTGCTGGTTAACCTATTGATCCTAATTAGAACGTTGCGGTTAACCACAGACACTTCTCAATTAAAACCGAATGCCGGGTGGTCGTCGTTCGTATGTCGACCACGAGGCGGCGGCCATTTTGTCCATGCGAACGACCAGCGGTGTTCGACGATTATTTCATGGATCTGAAAACGGACACTTTTTCAGCCGAACACCGCTGAAGCCGTCGACCTCCCCTTCTCAATCGACAAAAGTATACGAATGCCAGCCGTTCGGGAGATTCAACCACACGAATGGACTTAACCCAGATAGCCGTCCCATGGAGTCAATCGCATACCGACGAACTGAAAGAGACTTTGACTCCATGGCGATTGAACTGTGCGAATGGGATCTGAGCGCTATTCTTCAATAATGTGCCCTCAGATCCAGGCTATCTGGGGATATGCAATACGAATGTAATATGTTCGGCAGTTATGAAGTTATGGATTTTCATGTGTTTTGTGACTTGTGTTTAAAATGGCGATTGCCTCTGCTCGGGGAGATAATTGAGTTACTTCCCAATTATCCCTCGAGCAGAGGGGAGGGAACTGTGATGCATGCTGGGAATATTGTGGGGATGTATGTCCAAAATGTCCCCATGTCCCTCTGTGATTTCAGTCTCCCATTTGGTCCCCTAGGGGAGTGTCCACCAAGTGGGAGACCTGCATAAATACCGGGCAGGTAGCCCACAGTAAATGAGTTCGTGTTTTACCCTCAAAGCGGAGCTTGGTCTCGTTATTGGGGGGGATTTGGATACCAGCGGCGAGAGACTGTTTATTTGGATTATTTGCCGCTTGGGAGATATTGTCGTTCGGTTACTAATTGCCGTTCGTGGATTTGCAGCTCGTGAAGGGAATTAGCCGTACAGGTACCGTTCGGGAGTTTGGAGTGTTCCCTGACTGGCGGTTCGCATGGTTTTATTATACCCGCTACCCGACCACATTATTGCGAACAGGGAATACTCGCTAAACGGCGGTTTGTACATTTCAGTACTGGAGGTACCGTAACAACTGGTGGCAAGCGACGGGATGATCCTCAACGCCCAAAGAGACCACTACAACCAGGACTAAATGGAATTACAATACCAAAACCTGAGGAGGGCTACCCTAAAGGATTTATTGGAGCAAAGAGGGGGACAAGCCAGTAACCCCAGGAAGAGGGATATTATTGCGTTATTGCTGGAAATGGATGGAGTACCAGCGGCAGAGGGAACCAATGGACCCAGCACAGCTGACAGAACCCCCGAGGAGGCAAGCTTTGACCGGGCGGTAAGAATCAGGCTGGCACATTATGGTCCCAACCCGACTACAGAGACCATTGACCGGGTCATGGCAGCTGTGGAGGCCAACCTGCTTCGCCAAAGCGGTGCTGCAGCAGCCCCAGTCACAGCAAACCCGGGAGATAGGAAAAAGGTACCGTTTACTGCGTTTAAAGCCTTCAGTGAAACAGAAGGAGAGATTGATGGGT